CATAGCATGGCCCACTTAAGAGCAGAGGACCTTCCATCACCTGTTTCACTTAAATATTAAGAACTATTAAAAGACAGTGTTCGCTCTTAATGATTCTCAGAATCTCCTGACTTTCCAAAAACGCCACCCAAATCCTTTATCTATCTCTGGAACCTCCCAGGGCCTTAGTTTCTTCATCTATAAAATTAAGTGTTGGAGTAAGTTATATAAATGTCAAAGATTATGCTGTATACCCGAAACTAACATATTGTATGTGACTATAATTGGAAAATACATTTTTTAAAAGGAATAAAAAGCTTAGATGTTGTATTAGGTACTCTTTGCAGTTCTTTCTAGCTCTTAAATTATTTTTTTTCTACTAATTTTCTGTAGAAAAAGTTATTATACTTGCCTCCATCAGCTTTGGCCAATAAGGGCTACATTCAACAGTTTGTGAAGTTTAGAAAATTCTCCTTAAAAATCTGTTTTCTATTTTTACATACCTTTCCATCCTGACTATCCTTTCCCCCTGATATGTTGCATTATTTTCCAGAGGATCTCTCTCTCTTCCTGCCTCTCCCTCCCTCCTCCTCCCTTCCCCTCTCTCCTGCCCTGGATTTGAATATTCCACTCCACCCAATTTTGTTCCTATGTTGCAACTTTTGTGTTTGTACTGTGCTAGGGTGAGGGACTGAGGAATGAAAGGGTTACGGAATGTGCTAGGGGGAGGGACTGAGGTATGGAAAGGTTACTGGGTCGAGATTGTGACAGAGAAAAATTGCTAGGTTGTCTCAGAAAACAATGTATTATGATTCAACCCAGCCAGGTGTGACTCCGTTTACCTCCCCTTTGTTCTTGTGAACTTCTAAGGAACAGCTAATGAAATGTTTTGTAGTTGTTGTTTTTTAAACATTATGTAGATTTTGCAATAAAGGATTTTTCTGTACCCTTGGTCGGCACTGCAGGCTGCGAAGCCCCTTACTGAAGGGACGCACTGTAGTCAGCTGGCCAGCTTAATAAAGGCTCTTAAATTTAAATTCTGAGTCGGTGGTCTATCTCACTGATTGAACCCATAACACTACTTTCCCCCTCTATCTTTCTCTGGATTCTTTGGTGTTTTAATTGCATCTATTCTCTACGTCCATCTCTGTGAAAGCTACAAGATAGCCATAAAGTCTGGAGACATATATAATAGCTTATTTTTACAGATTGAACTCCTTGATTACTTCTTCGGGGCTATATAGATTTGTTCAGTGGAAATGAAAATTAAAGCTAAGTTACATGAGGCAAAGCCTCACAGATTCATTTACAGGAATTGATAGAAACTCTGTAGCACTGTATGCCCTGTAGGTTGATGCATCACATTAACTAAGCATTTCTAATGAGGGACATTATATTGACCATATCATGTAATGTTATTGAACATAGAATATATGATATTGTAATATTCATAAGCCTTCAGTTATGGATGTTCACCTATGTTTCCAGATTTTCTGGCCACTTGTGTTCATCAGTGGATTTTTGTTCTTGCCTTTTCTTTCATTTTGCATTATACATATTTCTTCTTAAGTATGCTCTTCATTAGAACTAGCCCCTGGCCGAAACCGGTTTGGCTCAGTGGATAGAGCGTCGGCCTGCGGACTGAAGGGTCCCAGGTTCGATTCCGGTCAAGGGCATGTGCCTGGGTTGCGGGCACATCCCCAGTGGGAGATGTGCAGGACGTAGCTGATCGATGTTTCTCTCTCATCGATGTTTCTGACTCTCTATCTCTCTCCTTTCCTCTCTGTCAAAAATCAATAAAATATATTAAAAAAAAAAAACTAGCCCCTGTATTAATGATTTAGCTTTGAAGATAAAACCAAATGCTTCAGTGGAGTCTATCAAGAACCAGAAGTTGTAGAACAATTTAGGTCTGTCTTGCCCCGTCTATGTTTGTCAATGGCCAGAATTTCTGTCCCAATTAAGAGGAGGAAGTTACTCAAGAGAGGCCCCCTGAGCAACACTCAGCATCCATTTAGAAAAATAGTGTGTCAGCTACGTCCTTTTTACTTTTCTGGAACAGTCTGAGAAATTATTAAAGACAATAAAATATATCTCTACAAAGTGCTGTTTCCTGAGCCATTTAAATGTTTATTTCTTACTCCTTTCTTTCATTTTTCACAAGATTGAGAGACAAGAATTTAGGATTCTCACAACACAAATGAGAAAGTGGATGTCCAGATAGGTTGTGAATTTCCAAAGCTCACAGTAAGTTGGACCAGATCTGAAAGCAGAAACTGGATCTCTCTGCTGGCTGAGTCTCCTGTCCATGGCGTTTGATACTGCAAGAAGCTGTCTGGTTAATGTAGAGGATGTGGCTTGCTTATTCATGGCTCTTGGAAAATGAACCTTTCTCTTCCTCTCTTCCTTCCTCCCTCCCTCCTACCTTCAGAATACACACACACACACACACACACACACACACACACACACATACCCCTTCACTTTATTAAATGAGCAAGAGGGGGGGAAGTCCACAGCAGCCTGCTGTCTGGCATGGCTCAGGTGGTAGCCAGCCACCTAGAAGCAGGGAAATGACTGTGTGGTCACTAGTGATTTCAGTGATTTTTTTCCCCCCCCCCACCAGCTGTCATCACAATTTCCAGAAAAGCTGCCAAGAAAAAGCAGTAGTTAGCATTTCACAGGACCCTTTCCCTCCACACTGTTACGGATCTTGGAACTTTTCTGACTGCCTTTTGCCCACAGTCTCTCCTTCCTCCACCATTCTGGATAAAGAGACGAGGCATTTGACCTCACCTACAGTTGAAGAACTCTACTCTTGAAGATGCTTCCCTTCTGCCAGAAACCCTCACTGAGACTGCGTTATTATTCCTTTCCCTAATCTGGATGGTTTCCTCCAAATCAGCACCCTTACGAAAAAGCATCTTATTCCTACCTGCCTTCCCCCCTTTCTTCTGTTGAGCCCTCTCGCTCTAAACAATACACTCAGGCCTCTAGCTCTTGAGGCACTTATCACACTGTAGGTAACTAGCAATTGAAGTGCTTATCTTCACCTCTAAGGAATGTGACTTAATGTATCCCAACCCAGCAAAGTGCCTGGCCCATTGTTGAGACTCAGTCAATCTCTGTTGAACAGAATTTGCCTAACTTGGCCTCAGGCACCTCCCGAATTTCACAGTGTGCTGAGTAAACCAACTGTTCCCTTCCTGTCTGGGGAGACCCACCCAAAGACCAGAAGAGGGAGGTCACACCTCTGCAGAGACAGGGGCTTGACTGATGTCCCCCTCTACCTATAATCCAGTGGTTCTCAACCTTTCTAATGCCGCGACCCTTTAATATAGTTCCTCATGTTGTGGTGACCCCCAACCATAAAATTATTTTCATTGCTACTTCATAACTGTAATTTTGCTACTGTTATGAATCATAATGTAAATATCTGATATGCAGGATGTATTTTCATTGTTATAAATTGAACATAATTAAAGCATAGTGATTAATCACAAAACAATATGTAATTATATATGTGCTTTCCGATGGTCTTAGGCGACCCCTGTGAAAGGGTTGCGACCCACAGGTTGAGAGCCGCTGCTATAATCCTATTCCATACTTTCTCCTCTACCACAGGCTAAGTAAGGCAGTCCTCAAACTTGTTTTTTCCAGACATATTTGTGGGGGCAGAGCTGCTAATAGAACAGGCTATGGACCAGGTAGGGATCAGGGTTGAGGTCAAAGCCTGAACTATCCTATATAATAAAAGGCTAATATGCAAATTGACCAAACAGCAGAATGACCGGTCGCTATGATGCACACTGACCACCAGAAGGCAGATGCTCAACGCAGGAGCTGCCCCTGGTGGTCAGTGGGCTCCCATGGGGGGGCGCCACTCAGCCAGAAGCCAGGCTCACAGCTAGCTAGCACAGCAGCGGTGGCAGGAGCCTCTCCCACATCTGTGGCAGTCCGACCTCCCCTGAAGCTCCCTGACTGTGAGAGGGCGCAGGCCGGGCTGGGGGGACCCTGCTTAGTGCATGAATTTCATGCACCAAGTCTCTAGTATTATAGAAATCTCTAAGAACGTTAGATTAGAATTTGATATGGATCGACAACGTACTCGATTGATAACCCAAGAGAGGTCCATAGAGGTGGGTTAAGAGTGCTGTCTCTAGCCCTAGCTGGGTTGGCTCAGTGGATAGAGCCTTGGCTTGTGGACCAAAGGGTCCCAGGTTCGATTCCGGTCAAGGGCACATACCTTGGTTGCAGGCTCCTCCCAGACCCAGGCCCTGGTCAGGGCTCATGTAGGAGGCAACCAATTGATGTGTTTCTCTTACATCAATGTTTCTTTTACCCTCTCTCTTCTACTCTCCCTAAAAATCAATGGAAAAATTATCCTTGGGTGAGGATAAATAAATAAATAAATAAATGGTTTCTTAAAAAAAAAAAAGTTGTCTCTAGAGACCTGCTATCTAGGTTCAAATAGTATTTGTGTGATTTTCAAACTATGTAACCTTGGACACATTAATCTCTACTTTATCTTTCTATACCTCAATTTTCTCACCCACGAAGTAGGGATAATAATGGTACCTGTGTCATAAGGTTGTTGAAGGGTTAACTAGGCTAATACATGTTAGTGCTCAGTGTTGTTATTACTAAGGAGAATGGCTTTGGATGGCACCAAATTTATGGTGAGGATTTTATGTGCAAAGGCAGGGCTGAGGCAGAGTTAAGTAGCAGGGTCTGGAGATAACAGAATGTCTTTGGATAAGCGAGTGCAAAGAATTTGGAGTTTAGGGTGGGGGAACAATCAGAGAAGCGAGTAAAGTAGAGAAATAGGGAGAGAGGAAATTTTAAAAGCAATTTCAAATTTACAATAGTAGTTAGGAACAGGTATATTTAATTCAAAATTGTTGATGTTGCTGAGATCTAAACCACCACAAAAATAAAATGGTACCATACTCCTTGGAGAGTAATTTGGCACTATCAAAATTAAAATGTATATATTTTTGACCCTTTAATTCTATTTCCAGGAGTTTATCCTACCTTGGTACTTGCAAACAGACTCGTGACCTTTTTGCAAAACCAGAGTTTAGGAACCACCACCTGTCTATCAATGGAATACTATGTGTCCATTAAAAATATTGAGGTAAGGTTATACATATTATACATTATATCTATGCAATAGAATACTATGTGTCCATTAAAAATATTGAGGCAAAGTTATCCATATTATAGCCAATCTAAAAAAAGAGATACATATCTCAGGCAGCGGGGGAGCCTAAGAGTCAATGGAAGCAGCCATGCCAAAGTCCAAGCCAGAGTCTAAACACCTGGAAGAATTTAGAGGCTTCATATTTGGAGTGGCTGGTGGGGGTAATGAGGAATGAGAATCGCAAAGCCTCTCACAGAGTTGCATGCAGGGAAAATCATCATAACAGCAGGTGGGGATTTAGCAAAGGGGAAGGTCCTTGATAATTCCTTTAAAAACATCAGGTGTTTGTAGGTCCCATGCAGAAATCTGTAGTTTTTGGTCGCTGGGTGGGTCTGGTTTGCTAAATGCCCCAGGGACAGATTGAGGAAAGGTAGTAGTGGAGCAGGATGATGGGTCGAGGAAAATGAGCCTGGGAAGCTATGTGTGGATAATCACAGTTATGTGGATTTCAATTAGCTTTTCATCTGAGCTCAAAGGATAGTAATCAAAAGATTGATATCAACAGAGAAGGGCCTCGCTGTCTTAGTAAATACATATATATTTTAATGTTTTTATTGAGAGAGAGAGGAAGAGAGAGGGTGATAGTAACATCCATGAGAGAGAAACATTGATCTGCTGCCTCCTGCACCTCCCTACTGGGGACTGAGCCCGCAACCAGCAACCCCAGCATGTGCCCTGACTGGGAGTCAAACCAGCGACGAGGTCTTGGTGCATGGGTTGACGATTAACCCCTAAGCCACACCTGCCAGGCTTACTAAATATTTTTTTAAATCAGTGATTTAGATCAGCAATTTTCAACCTTTTCATCTCATGGCACACATAAACTAATACTAAAATTCTGCAGCACACCAAAAAACATATTATTTTATATATATATAAATTTTTTTTTTCTGATCTGACCAAAAAACAGGTATAATTTTGATTCATTCACACTGGACAGCTATTGTTGTGTTGGCTCTTGTCATTTTAAAATTTGACAGTCTCAGGGGAAAGAGGTCAGTGCCTCTGACTAAATAATCAGGTCTTGTGTGTTTTCAAAATTCTTGTGACACACCACTTGAACATTGCTGACTTAGATGATGATCTCGCTGGGACAGATAATTAACAGAATGGATGATAGAAACCAGGTTTAAAATAATCTTGACAGATTAGAACAAAGTGCCAAAACCAACAAGAAATTTGACAGGGATAAAGTGAAGACTTAAGTTTCGGTTTTTAAAACATCAATCGTACAGAAAGGAGCGAGACTGGCTTGACAGCATTTGTCGTGAAAAAGGTTTGGGTCTCACTAAATCCAGCTCCTTGTCACTGTTTCATGAAAAGACAATGTCAGATCAAGAGAGCTCACAGTCTCACCGTGTTTTGAATTGACCCGTTGTGACTTCCAGGAAGATATTGATGAATTAGTGTACACCAGTGAGAGATCAGGTTGGGAAAAAGTCCAGTAACTTCACCAGGTGAGGAAGAACGGGACAAGCTTGGACATGTTGAATATGGGGAAGGGAAGAAGAAGGAGCATAAATAATAGTTGTCCTCAAGTAGCTGTGTTTGACAAGTATAAGGCTAACACTGTGAAATTGCCAATGTTTAACCATCTTGATCCCTAAACTGGCAATTTCGTTTGGCTCAACCTAGTAGAAGAGGATGGAAACTCTTTTTGTAATGCTGCAGAGACCAATGAGAGTCAATGGGTGAAAGAGGGAAGCAAAGATTATATCAACATAGGAAGGAGTTTGTCACAATCAGATGCTCTAGAGCAGACTGAGCTGCCTTACAGAGTTCTAGGTTCCTTGTCACCGAGAGAGCCCAGGCAGAGATGGGCAACAGTCTCTCGAGGATATTTAGAGTTTTCTGCATTCAGTGGGAGACTCCATGATCCAGCCTGAGTCTCCGGCCTCTCCAGCTGAACTCCACAAAACCAAGACAACACAGCAGGCTGCTGGGAATGCCTTGGCCATTCTGTGCTGTCTTCTACTGCTGTGTCTCTGTGCACATCAGTCCTAGAATTTCACATCTCCTAACTAGGCACCCTTCAAATTCCTACTCACCTCTGCGGACTCAACTCAAGGGTAGGCCCATCTGAACTCTCCAAATGGTCTGCCACACTCTCGCCTATGCGCTTGTACCTGCTGCTTACTCTGTAGTGTCACTTAACTTTCTTTTGTAATTTTTTGTGGACCCGTCTCTCTCCTACTAAGTGTGTGTGAGCTGCTTATGGGCCAGAAACAGCTCTTCCATCTTTATATCCCCAGTGTTGGAGCAGATTTTGTAGCTTCATATTCTTTTAATAACATTAAGTGAATGCATAATATTTTTTTATTTTTTTAAAAAATATATTTTATTGATTTTTTACAGAGAGGAAGGGAGAGAGCTAGAGTTAGAAACATCGATGAGAGAGAAACATCGATCAGCTGCCTCCTGCACATCTCCCACTGGGGATGTGCCCGCAACCCAGGTACATGCCCTTGACCGGAATCGAACCTGGGACCCTTCAGTCCGCAGGCGAACGCTCCATCCACTGAGCCAAACCGGCTTCGGCAAGTGAATGCATAATATTAATATTGGATGTTTTGATTATATATGTAAAATTTTAAAAATTATTACCTATGCATTTTAATAAAATATTAATTATTCAAAATTAATGCCCTTACTATGGGGGATACACATTGATATTTTCTATTTTATTTTGTTCATTTTTAAAAATAGAAGTCATAATCTAGGTTCCAAAATTAATGTAGGTTTCCAGCCTTATTCTGAAAAACACTGAACTATATAGTCAAGAGCAGGGATTTGAGCTCTGGCCTGGTAGCTCATTTGATTAGAGTGTCATCCTGATACACTAAGGTTGCAGGTTCGATCCCTGGTCATGGCACATACAAGAAGCAACCAATGATGCACAAATAAGTGGAACAACAAATCAATATGCTTCTCTCTCTCTCTCCCTCTCCCTCTTTCTCTCTCAGTCAATTAAAAAATAAAAAGAGCAGGGGTTTGAATGGAAGGTATGAGAACCTAAGGGAAGCTGTGGGCCTCCTTGCCAGAAAGATGCATGTGTGCACTGCACTGACATTCAATTTCAGAGGCTCCTTGTACCCACTAAATCCTTCTGTGCGTCATGGGTTATGAGAGTTTCTTCTAACTTCTATTTTTCTGAGAAGCATGTTGACGTAGTTTAGGAACACCTAAGAGTCACCCATAGAGAGAGCACAAAACTGGAAGGGAGGTGCAGAAAGCACAAAGACTAGAGGGACAATGCTGGGGTGGGGCAGGCAGGACAGTTCAGTACGTGTGAAAGGCAGAGGAGTGGGGAGCGAAGTAGATCCTGGTTAAGGGTTAGGAGGAAGGAAAGGCGCAGCACCCCTGGGCGCGGAGAGTAGGCCTGCTGATCTGATCTTCTTTCCAAACTGTGGGCTTTCTCCTCTCCTCCCCGTTGCTCACTTTCCCTTCCTCCCCTGATGGAAACTCTGAAACTTTTCCTCTTTGCTTCCAGATGGGGAGCTCTGGCATAATGAGTGTTCTGGCCCGTGTGCAATGACTCCGTTCTCTCTGCCAAGGGATCAAGTTAAAATCCGCTTTCCTGGAAACCAGCTCATGTCTTTAGGAAGTATGACCCTCATTAGGGAGAGATTGGGACCTTTGGATAAAGAAGGGATAGGAAAATATTTTTCAGCTTTCGCTGATACAGTAACTTACAAGGATAAAATATGAACACCGCCCTAGCCCGTTTCGCTCAGTGGATAGAGCGTTAGCGTGTGGAATAAAGGGTCCCGGGTTCAGTTCCAGCCAAGGGCACATGCGCAGGTTGTGGGCTCAATCCCCAGTAGTGGGTGTGCAGGGGGCAGCCAATCAATGATTCTCTGTCATCATTGATGTTTCTGTCTCCCCTCCTCTCTGAAATCAATAAAGAAATATATTTTTAAAATAAATAAATGAAGTATGAGCACCAACAAATAATTTAAAAATGGGATCTCCTGTTTCTGAGATCTAAACTCAGGATCACAGACTTGATAAGGTCTTCCTTGAATCTTAGGTAACTCTAAAGTGTTTTCAACAACATGTTGAGGACACAACAAACATATATCTCACATTCCACAGGATATATCGGGAAAGGGACATAAGCATAACACAATTGATTTCCTATTCCCCGTCGGGAATTTGGGGGTTGTGAGAAGTTCTGTAAAATCCAGAAAGCCCAGGACATTATTATAGTCCACTATTAACATGGCTAAGGGGAAAAGAATGAAACTTGGGTGGGGTTAGGAACCTGAGTTATGTGCCTAGATAGGCCCTGACTCACTCTGTGATGATGGCCAGTCACTTCCTGGCTCAGTGTTCCAGTCCCCCTTTTCCCCAGCCCCTTCGCCTGCCCAAGTAAAATAAAATAACAATTTTATTCTTTCTTAAGAAAGTTAAACCCGATAGTTTCTATAAAGCACTCTGGAAAATAGCCAGCCTCTGAGCGTAGCAATGTGAGATGATCTTACTCATTTTATAACCAATGTCCTGGGTGATACCTAAACCATGAGGACTATAAACTTCTTTATTTTTGTTGGAATCCTCAGTTGGGGAGGAAATACAAAGGTGTTCCGCTTCCTCTTCTGTCTCTTCTGACTTCTGGAAATGACACTGTTGTGTTGCTAAAAGGTCCGTAGGGAGATATTTGGGAGATAACTGGGTAACACCCAACTAGGTCAGGGAATGAGTCAGAGCTCAAGGACTCCATACCAACCTCTCCCACTCCTGCCAGGAAACCTCCTGGAGTGAGACAGAGATGAGAAGGGAGCCAAGGGGCGGGCCTCACGGCTGCCTGCCCTGGGGCCTCTGGCTGGCTATTTCACCCTAGTATGCCCTGCAGCTGGACTGCGTCTGCTGACGTGCAAGCTGTGACACACTCTTGCTGACGTGCAAGCCGTGACACACTCTCCCTCCCTCTCTCCTGAACCTCTGCTCAGTCCTAGAAACAGATGGCCCATCCCACCCCAGAAGTGACTATAGGAGAGATGAGAAGGAAAGGGAAGAACCGAACCAGGTGGAGATCTATCCCTTCAGAAAACACAGGGCAAAATACAAGAGACATTTGTCTAGGAGGTGAAGAGGAAGTAGAAACTGCATTCTCCTCTGACGAATCAGGATAAGAACAGAAGAGCATCGTGGCCGGGCTGACACAGATGATAGAACAGGATTGAGAGCTAAGGCTGAGAAGGACCAAGTAATATTAGCCTGAAATCCTGTAAGACTCAAGAGCAAAATGGCAAAAAAAAAAAGTCACAATTCTTGTTTGGAGGTCCTCAGCTCTTGCAAATCCCTCTCTCTTTCATCACCATCAATCCCAGTTGGTAGCAATCCTTAGACCTCTCCTCCAAGACAAAAAATAAGACCATTTTAGGCACCCAACGTCTCCCAGTCACATGTTTCCATAAATGATTTCACGTAGTAGTGCTCACAATAGCCTTACCAGGTAAGTTTTATTATCATCGCCATTTCACAGAGGGGTACACTGAGACTTTAATCACTTAGAGGATTAAAGTGTTTTGTTCAGAGAGTTTGGAAGTCGTGGGGTCTGTACCAGTTACCAGAATCCCCAGAGATTCCATTATACCAAATTGCCTTTGATATAAAGTCAAATCAAGTCAAAAATAGTAGAGATTTCTTAAAGCTCCCAAGGATCTTGGAGCAGTAAGGAGCGGACCAAGTAAAGAGCAACTCTCTAAAGGTAGGTATTTTAAATCCTGGAATTGTTGGGTTTGCACAGGCCTCCCTGCAGTCTGAAATCCCCGTGCAGCCTTGGTACCCTCTAGTGGAAGTTTTCTGCATTCACACAGCTTCCCTTCAACCCCAAAGAGCTGGAGAGCATCCCAAAAGAATGTTCAGCGGGAAGGTACATGTTTATAAGTCAGAGTCCATGGCTGGTAAACAGAAGAATACAGACTAAAGGTATGCTAAGCACTTGGTTCACAAGGGGCCCCAAAGGGAATCCTTGCCAGTGTATTATAAATGAGCTCAGGCCTTTGTGCATTATTAATAAGAGCTAAATAAATAAATAAATAAATAAAAAGAGCTAAATACACATCACAAGAGACTGGAGGCTTTTAGGGCTCTAGAGAGTGACTTTTTTAAAAAAAAAATGAAGAACATTAGTGGTCAGAGATGTGAAGTGACTTTCTTTAAGGCAGGGTCAGTCATTGTCAGCAATGGTGGGACTTGAACCCGTGTCTCCTGCCTCCCAACCCGGAGCCCTTCCCACTGCATCACACTTTTATATTTCTTGACTTTAGACATAAATTGATGTGCATGTAAGGACATGGGGTTGTAGGTATAATCAGCAAGTTGTTTTTCCTTCGTCTGCCCAGAATCTATACACTTTCCAATTTTTTGTTCAACATGTTTATAGAATGTCTATTATTGCCAAACACTACTCTAAGGAATTGCTTTTACAGGGCACCCCAGCATATGGCAACAGTCCCCAGGCTCCTGAACCCGCGTCTACAGCCCTCCTGACACTCCTGAAGCTTCTCCCCCATTTCCCAGTGCTAACGTGTGTCGTCAGATTTCTGTCTGTCTCCCTCCACCAGCAGAGGTAATCCCTGGGAGCAGAAGTGGGTTAGAAACAGATTACTCTGATCCAGGGGCTTTGTTCTCTCTTCTCTAAACGTGGCTAGTGTTGGGGGCGGGGTGGGGGGGTAGTGGGGGAGGAGTAGGAGGGGGAAGAGATGGTGTCACAAATAGCTTGAAATTCCCTTTTAGGATTATTGCTTGATTTAGCCAGCTGGGGCGAAAGTGGAGCAAGAAGAGGCTAGGGATTAATTCTAGACCTAGCTTCAAGAGCAGGCGGCATGGGCTTCTTTTCTGGCTGAGCTGGAATGAGCAGTATCTTTTTCTAAACATACCTTTGGAGATAAGGAGTCTGAGGCAGGCAGAAACGGCAAAGGCGAAGGCCTTTGCCCTCCGCAGTAGGGCTGAGTGGGAGGACAGATGAGAAAGAACGACAGCTAGAAGAGAGTCGTGCAGCACAGACATAAGAAGTCACTTTGGACTTGGAAACAGACCTGCCTCTAGGTGGTCTTAGTTTCAACAGAGGTGAGAACTGCTCCCTAGGGGGCCACAGCTAACACACAGGGCTTCCTGGGGATTTCCAGCGCCTATCTGGGTTAGGAGCTGTCTTGCTTTAGGGACATTGCCCTGGGGTGGACTCTGGGGGC